CACAACTTAAAGTGCATTGAGGGGGTGTGACATATATGCAAGAACGAAGGGCTAGTTTATAAGATGGAGAATCTAAAGATTCTGTTAGTATATTAGAGAGAAAATTGAATACAGATGTAAAGAGTTCTAATCCAACCATCTGAAATAATAGGGAGCTGCTCCCCTTGAACTCTCCCTTAAAAAAGACCTCTTAGGCTCCCTCCCTCTACATTTATCCCAAAAAATGAAGGTGCATGGGCAATCAAAATAGCTTCCCACGAGAAGTTAGGTCCATTAGCCTCAAACTCTTTTCTAGTAAGCAGCCGATAGCTTCTAAGTGTTGCAATGCATTTGGGCCTATTAATATTTGTGAGTCTAGATGTGGAATGCTCTAACGCCACACTCTGTATCCTACAACAAGCTCAGTATAGCCTTGCCTCCTGTCATTATACAGCTTCTAAGAACAGCTCAATTTGATGGGTTCCTATAGTTGAGCCAGGACACTTTCCACCCTCATGTTGATTAGTGAAATGTAAATAATGTATGTCCATTTTCTGCTTTCAGAGTTTGGATGGAAATAATGGTTACGTTGCTCCCTCTTACAATGAGGATGCCACATCAGGGAACAGGCTGAAGATGAAACTTAAAGAGTTTCACAAGAGGTAAATCCTAGAATTTGACATCATCATATTTGGTTATTTGGCTTTCTTTGGAACTTCTTTTTTGAGCTCTTCTTTCTATCTTTTCCCCCCTGCAGCACTGCATCATTTACAGCGTTAGACAGGAATTACCTCACCCCATTCTTCACAAGTCAGAATGGCGATGATGAAGAAGAACATGGTAAGATTGATTATTGCCAGAATGTTGCTTGATCCAGGGTTCTCCCTTGAGCCTCATCGTATACGATCTTGTTCCTGTTTTCTCATTTAATTTTATAGAAGGGAGATTTTCACAAGTTTTTCGATTGCTTTTCTCGTGTTAGTGTGATTTATTAAAATTAGAAGGATCATGTCCTGATGAAGAATTGCTTGGCTTTTCATATGAATAAACATTATTTATTTTTGCGACTTAAGTGAATATTTCAGATTTTCATTACATTGTAATGATACAAGTTTCACTGTTTTGGGGGTGCATGACAGATGACCCGATGCCCAGTTCCAGGGGAAGGGGTTTCCTTGGCCATAACTGACTTTCAGCAGTATTAGTTGAGGAACACATGATGCTACAAGCAATCAACTTTGTAGATAATTTACAGACAGCTGCAGACCAGTGGCACTCAATTAGACGGGAGGGTGAACTGCAGTTATGCATCTTGCCACATTCACACCATGCCTGTCTGCTCTGGTATAATGGCAAACACACGTGGAATTGTAGACGTCACAAGAATTATCCCTTTTTTTTCTGCGGTCGAGTGTTGTATGGCATGGGCTTAGTTCTCTACTAATTGAACTGTATTTGACAATGGGCATACTTGATTCAATCGCATTTAGTGTTCTCACAGATGTATTATACCTGTCACCAAATAAATAAAAATAACTTGAAAGGAGGATTGTGTTGCATGGAAAAACTCTTGGGATTTGTTATAATTACGATCCGTTGATCGTGTTTGATTTAACAATACCTTGTTCTAAAAGGTAATTTCTCTTCTTGTTTCAATTAACTGATTTCTTGTTTTAGTTCATGGTTTAAACACAAGGAAATCAAAGGAAGGTGAACCTGGAAAGGAAAGAAAGGAGGAGGATGCTAGCCTGTTCCTATGTAATTTAATGATGATTTGAATAGTAGTAATTAATCGATGGGTAATAATTAGAGTTCCCAATAATAATAATTAAAGAGAAGAAGGTCCCAATTGACAATAATTAAAGAAAGGAAAGAAAACAGACCATAGAGTAGTAAACGAACCGATCATGGGTGAAAAACAAAAGAAATACTGCTTTTTTGAAAATAATAGTGCCGTTAGCAACGGCTAGTTTTATTTCTCATAACGCGGAGCTGCCCTAAACACAGACCGCAGGAGTCACTGGACAGATCTGACCACCTCCCCTCTCTCTCTCATACACATCCTCAGATACGAATTAGAGAAATCGATTAACGGCACAGTTCGCAACTGTAAGAACAAATGGATGAAGAATCGATAACGATAATGCAAGAGAAGACAGCAATAGTCCCCAATCCTCCTCCTCGGAGGCCCAGGGTGAGGGAGGTCAGTTCCAGGTTCATGTCTCCAATTGCTTCCTCCTCCTCCTCCCTCTCACCTCTTCCTTCCAATAAGCAGCGCTCCAACTCCGTGCAGAGGCAGCGCCGCAACCAGGAAGCGGACGCCGACTGCAGCCCGCAGCGGAAACATCATCATCAGCGTGCTGTAATCAAGCTTTTTAAGGAGAACGAACCAAGATCCCAAAGTCACAGACCCGATACCCCCACAGTCAGCATCATCAACACGTCCTCTTCTTCTAAATTACGATTGATGCAGCAACGCTCCACCTCCAACATCAACATCTCATCGGCTGCTGCAAAGCTGCTGCAATCCACTGGGATCTCCAATTCCACTGATTCTTCTTCCTCTTCTTCTACGGATCATGACAACATTAATCCTAATACTAAGAATAACAACAATGATGTCAGAAGCTCTCTTCCCGATCTCCTCCGTGATACTGATGCTAGATTTCTAGCTGAGAGAAATCTCAACCGGCTTAATAATAATAATAACCCTTGTGCTTCCCCATGCTCCCGTTCTCTCAATTTGCAGCGATCTATAAGTAGCTGCGACCCCTCCTTGTTCCATTCACTCAAATCTACAAAACTGCCTCCAGTGGCTCCTTGCTCCAAGATCCCAAATGATGCTTCTAGAAAGACAAGGAAAGTTTCTAGTCTCCAAGAAGATGTACAATCTCTCAAGCTGCTTCACAACCACTACCTGCAGTGGAGATATGTCAACGCAAAAGCACAGGCCTCTGCTCAAGCTCAGAGAAGAGAAACTGAGGTACTATCTATCTCATTATTTGTTTTTTCTTTTTTTCAATGAATTTTCATTAATTCCAATCTCAAAATTGATCAGTCCTCTATTTTATTGTAGAGAAACCTGTATTCCCTTGGTGTCAAGATAACAGAATTATACGAATCAGTGAAAAGAAAACGTGCAGAGCTTGGCCTTCTGCAGAGATTGAAAATTCTATGGACCATCGTTGAAGCTCAAGTAAGGAGCTGACATTATTTTTCTTTTTCTTATTCCCCATCATTTATTTGGATGCATTTAACATTTAGGCATCTCTATCGTGACCAAACAATAGACAGTTACATGTAATAATTGCAGAATTTAACTTGCAACGATAGTGCTATTTATTGGCTGTAGTTTGCATGTTCTAATGAACTCTCAATTCCATAGATGCCGTATCTGGATGAATGGGCTGCTTTTGAAATGGATTATTCGATATCCCTGTCAGAAGCAATTCAAGCTTTGTTGAATGCCTCGCTTCAAGTTCCCATCAGTGGAAATGTTAAAGTGCGTTTTACTCTTTTCCTTTTGCCACTATCTGGGTTAACAGATCACTAGTCTATCATTCTCATGTGTTATAGTCTGGCAATATTATGGATGTCTATTGCAGGTTGATATTAGAGAGGTAGGGGAGGCACTGAACTCTGCAACAAAATTAATGGACACAGTAGCTCTTAACATTGAAAGCCTTATGCCAAAGGTGAGGTGCTTTCTCTTATAATCAATGAAGGTGCTTTCTCTTAAGAGTGAGAGTGATAAAACGTAAGAGCTTAAAGGAGGTTATTTGGAGTTATTCTAGAGTCCCATTTAAAGTAGGTTGGTTATTTGAGATCAGCATAATTGTGTCCTACATAGGAAAACATGTGGCATAGCAACAGGAACTGAACTTCCTACGCTCGAGTCATACATGCCCCCTATAAAATCCAAACAGTTTGTTGAGTAGACTCAAAAGTTAAGAATGCTGGATAGTTAACTCAAGTGGCTGCTTCCCTCCTTTTGTTCATACAGAACTTCCTACGCTCGAGTCATACATGCCCCCATCTATACCATACATGCCACCACCTCTGTCTACTATGCTAAATTACGGTCTGCCTAAACCAGAATAAATTGACCACCATTTCTTGTCCTCCAACCCGTCATCATTCTGTTGGACATTTCCTGATGCAGGCTGAGGAAACAGAACATTTGATCTCAGAACTAGCTAGGGTGACTGGAGGAGAAAAAGCTCTTATTGAAGAATGTGGGGATCTGTTGTCAATGACATATAATTCACAGGTATGCTACATCCTAATCTGTTTAGAATTAATTACACTGCTGACATCTTATTGTATTCTGCTCCTCTATGAAGTTGTCTCCAAAATTGTCATTCTTGTGTTTTTGTTCAACGCCTACCTAGCTTAAACAATGTTTCCTTTGTCCTTTTTGTTTGACCGCTGAAGAAAGAGCTAATAATGTAAATTGATAAAAAGATGGGCCTGATTTTCAGGTAGAGGAATGCAGCTTACAAGGGCAGCTAATTCAGTTCTATCGGAGCCGTCACAATCAACACCAGGATGAGCAGCAATAACTTTGCAATTGCTTCAAAGTTTCCTTGACGCCGCATGGATTATATAACGACCATTGCAAACTTTGCATTTACATATAACGACCATTGCAAACTTTGCATTTACAATATGCATAGGAAGAGTAGTAGTCTTTCCTCTCTCTGTTTTTTTTTTTGTACGTGCCCCTATAGTCGGTACTATTAAATTGCAAGTTTTTGACATTTTATGACATGTATTATGTAGTCACTGCACAGTTAGTCGAACCACACGGAACATGACAGAACAGAAGAACCATCTGGGACACTTGGGACATACATGCATGCATAGCAAACTGATCGTAATATACTTGCTCATTATAAACACTTCGGACATACATGCATGCATAGCAAACTGATAATATACTTGCTCATTATATGGTTCCATACCACTGTTTCTTCCAGTACACTCTACATCCCTGCGATCAGTCAGTTCCACGCTTCCAGTTTTAAGGGTAAAATACAAGAAATAAACACGAAATAATAATCCATCCTGAAACTTCTAACAAATGCCCGTTTACCAGGTCAAGAGTAATTTACATGTCTTCTCCCTCTCTCAGCCAAAAATCCAAAAAGAAAAAAAAATTATTGCTCTCCTCAAGCGCGGCTTCAAGTGGAACAGCAACCTTTGCTTGTGTTCCCCGAGGCATTGGCAACATTGATAGTGGTTCCTTGACCAGGAACTGTGGAATTGGCAGCTGCTTCCTGGGCTGCCAGTGCTTTCTTGCTAATGATATGGTAGATCTCTGTCAATATGGTTTGGAACGCCTTCTCAATATTGGTGGCTTCTAGCGCTGATGTCTCAAGAAATGAGAGGCCTTCCTTCTCAGCCAGGGCATGACCATCCTCCTCTTGAACAGCCCTGAGATGTTTCAAGTCAGACTTGTTTCCCGCCATCATGATGACAATGTTAGAGTCTGCATGGTCTCTTAATTCACGAAGCCACCTCTGGACATTGTCGAAAGTTTGCCTCTTGGTTATGTCATAAACAAGAAGAGCTCCAACAGCTCCTCTATAATAAGCACTAGTGATAGCTCGATACCGCTCCTGACCAGCTGTATCCCAAATCTGTGCCTTTACTGTCTTCCCATCCACCTGCACCATAATAATAATAATAATAATAATAATCAGCTATCTGATAGATTTCCCCCATGGGCAGCAAAATCACGCTGCATCAGTTAGTAATGTGCCCTGGCAGCAAACATCCAGACAGCAGATTTAGAACCATCCATCGATAACCCAGACCTTAAATCATATAAAGAGGTCTAGATGCAAAGTGTAAACAGAATTGATATTCTACAGAAGACCAGGCATGGCATTGTAATGGTTGTCTAAGGTATGGTGAGGAAATAGTGTTGTACAAGGTGAAGATTCTATTCTATTTATATGACCGAAACTATAAAAGAAATCAAACAAGGGCAAGAGTCAAACACTAAAAAACAAATGGGGAGGGATTGTGATCATAGTTAAAAAATTTGGAATTGGACTAGCTAAGGCAGATAAATAAGCTAAGATACATAGAATCAAACTAACAAGTGGACAATAGAAGACCAATGAAATACCAAAAAAATAAACTTGTTCTTTATAAAATTGTATATTCTATTTATGATAAGAATGATAATGACAATAAAGAGAGAACAGGGAAATACTTGGAGAGTTCTGGTGGCAAACTCAACACCGATGGTGGATTTGGATTCCAAGCAGAATTCATTTCTGGTAAACCTGGAAAGAATATTGGATTTGCCAACACCAGAGTCCCCGATCAGCACGATCTTAAACAGATAATCATACTCATGATCCACTCTATGACCCATTTTTTTCTTTTTCTTTTATATATATATATATAATAATAGTAGTAATACACTCTCCTCAGATCTCTCTAGCCTGCCAGATCCAACAACCAAACCCACTTCTTCAGTCGTGCATCATATAATCAGTCAGTCAATCAATCATAGAGAACAAAACAAAACAAAACAAAAACAATCAGATCTATCTATCTATCCAGAAAGAAAGATAAGGGGAAAAAAACTCACCCTCTGAATGAGGAGGCCAACCGATCTAGAAGAGAAATCGATTTGTTTCTTAAACTTAAATCTCCCTTTTATTATGTATGTATGTATGTGGAGCATGTAATTGCAGCAACCCTTCTTGTTGTATGTTTTCAACGGGATTTTATGTAAGAGATTATAAAATATATATATTAGAAAAGGAAGAGGAATTAGAATTGGGAGGGAGCAGAGACAGCAAGGATGAAAGGGGAGGAGAAGAGGGCTTGAAACGGCCCAATAAATACTACAAGGTTTTAAGTTATTGGGAGACAAATTTGTTAAGTTTTATGTTTGTATTTGTAGTAGTGAAACTAAAATACAATGTAAATGCTCTGCTCTCTGTCTGTCTGTCTGTCTAGAACGTGTAAGCGACGTGCCGTTTAGCATATATAAGGTGGGAAAAAAGGCCAGGTGGTGACAAAAGAAAAGAACAGGTCAAATAATAATAATAATAATAATAATAATGTGTGAGGTTGGGGAATCTGATGGTGGCAGCAGCAATGGAATGGCATGGCATTGCGGCCTGGCTGGCTGACACTGGCAGTGGATGTTTAGTGATTTCCACGTCTTATTTTTTTTTAGATTAATATCGGTGTTTGGGCCAACTTACACGCACCATGATTAATCCCACAGGCTCTGAAGTTAACGACTATATAAACTTCCAGTGGCCATCATATAAGCAACCAAGAACTCGAGAGCAAACCCCTTGATCTCAAGTTTTTACCACTTAGCCACGCCTTATTTATTTGGATTTGGTGGAGGAGGGAGAATCATTATACATGTGTGTGTATGTATTGCTGGGTTCATCACCAAATCCATCCAAATATCCAATGATCGATCCAACAAGCTTCATTTTCTCTCCTCCTGTTTTTTTGATGTTGAAGTTTCTCTCGTGGTATTTGTGCTGAGGTATGATATAATAGTCTAGTCTCCACAACTCACAAATTAATAATTTCAGTCCATAAACTTGATATTGGACCTGGGCTTTTATTTCACCTTCATAAAGACAGATTTGGGCTTCGTACGGCCGCCTCCCGAGTTGTTTTCTGCTGCTTGCTTGCTTGCTTCTTCTTCTTCTTTTTTACAAAAAAGAGAAGAAGAACGCAAATCCTCATTCTGCGTGTCCGTGTCTTGGTACAATAAGAGACAGTGAATGGACGCACGATGGCTTTGAAGTTCTTAAACTAGAAGGGATCGCACACGGGGAAGTCTTAGGAACATAGACAACGCGTGGAAGGCTGAGCCGAAGCACCGGACCGAACAGAAGAAGTTGATTCAAGATGAGCGTGAGCGTTCTGAGTTTCGTCTTCTCCAGGAGCAAGCTGGTCTTGTCACGTAAGAATCTCCTTCTCCTTTTACCCTTTTCCCCTTCAATTCCACTAACTAATCAAACTACCAATTAATTATTTTATTCGTTATATTTCCAGAACAAGCCTCACTCCTCCAATGACGCTCAGAGGAAACTCCATTCTTATCCTCTCCTTTTGATTCGCAAATCTGTAAGCTTCCTTCTCTCTCTCTCTCTCTCTCTGATGAATAATACTCTTTCAATGAATCGCTTCCTTCTCTTCTTTTTCTCTATCTATGTAATTGGGCATGCATGCCCATTTTGTAATGTAGAAATGTCTGTTAGGTTTTGTGAAAATACGTTATTAATTATGAAATTGATGGTGAATAGCTAGTTCTTTTCACTTTTAAACTTGAATCTCAAGTTAGTAGACGCCTTTGGTACCATGGACGCGTCCTTGGCTCATAACCTGGAAGCATCAACATTTGTACTTTTATTTTTTTAATATTAGCTGAAACATTTCTATTCACATGCTGAGGCGAAAAGAAGATCAATATCATTGGAGAATTCCAAATTTTTTATTGTAAATAATCAGTTTTGTGCGAATGCTGAACCAGTGATTATTGTTTTGTAGGTTGAAACAAAGAGATGGAGAAGAACCGTGATAGAAAGGAACATGGTCATAGTAAAGGAAAGCATTACAAGCATTCATTATTTAAACCATAATAGGATTCTGAAAATTTCAGTGCTTAAGGAGAACGAAGGAGAAAGACTAGTGATCACAAGCATTCATCTTCTAAAAAACAATCTGACTCAGAAAATGTTAGAGTTGAATATGGGAAAAGGTGAGAAAAAGTAGCGTTAGCAGGAGTCCAAAGCATGATGACCATAAGGAATAACTACAGGGTTTGAAAATACAGAAAGCAATCTCCCTGTGGGTTCTCGCACCCAAGAGCTTTGGAAGAAGATGTTCAAGATGCGCACAGGAAGAATCATGGCAAGTCAATGAATGAGAGATATTTGTTGGAGGGCAACGCAGCTTTTGCCCCTGATAGAAAGGAAAGGAAAGGAGCACGAAGAGTCCTCATGAGGGAAGATCTTATGCTTCTGCTAAGTCAGTGTGCCATGATTCAATATTTAAGTGTCGGAATGTTGCCTCTAAACTGACAGAAGAAGAGCGAGCTGGTAAGCTATGGGAGATGCAAGTCGATGCTGAGTTGCATGAAGAGAAAAGATGGAAGCATTTGAGGAAGGCAGAGGAAGATGGTGCATGAGAAGCTACTTGTGCATGCATGCTGGGTGGGAGGAACTTACTAGATGCTGCTCATAAAAGTGTGTATGGAAATGAGTAGCGGGGAGCTCAGCCATTAAGGATAGCGCACACCTTATTCACAAGGAAAGTCTGAAGTGGGTGATGGCAATGCTTTTTGCCGGTGAAGCACTCCTGATTTGGTGGTTTATTTTTGCCTTTCTAATAGTTACATGTGTGTTCTTTACCTCCCCATGCATGTATGCATATTCTGTAATACGGACCTCTCACCTTTATTAAACTTTCTTGTAAAACCCAGTGGTTGATTCAAATAGTCATTCAGTTCAATATACAGTTTGTTGAAACTCTCAACGGCATGTCATCTGATTGATACTATATCCAAGTGCACACTTTATTATCGTGAAGATTTCTTGAATTCAATAAATTATAAAGGAAATAAAAATGCTGCTTTGTATCAATACCCAGTCAACATATAGGACTTCATAAACTTGCCTTTCTTCCAAGGATTATCAAGCTATTGTGGTACTAAATTGTTATTTTCACTTCCAGTTGAAAGATTAGACAACTCCTGCAAACCATATGAAAAGGAAACAAAGTCCTAGTTTTGGTATATATCCTTTGTACACAACAATTTAAGCTTTGTTTTTCAATCCTATGTGAATGACATGCTTTCAACCTTCAAACATTTCCCCCTTTATCCGTGAGCCTGGTAGCTTTCTATTTTGGGCTGCGTTAGTCCTCCTATCCCTGCCTTATTCAGATTTCAGAATACTTGAATCCCCACTATTTCATTTGAGCGTTTTGCTTTTGTTTATGAAACTCTTGAACCATCGAAGCATGTATTGTTTAGACTTTGTCATTGATTTTATCTCCCTTTCCACTTGTGCCCCCAAAGCATTGATGCTCTGGCAGTCCTCTTCTTCCTATTAGGATCAATTCTGAACACCAGAAGAAATGGGAAAAAAGAAAGAAAGAAAACCTGTGCTTATTTACAAATTTGTTCCTTGGATTTAAAGCCTTTTTTGTCAAATTTGTCAAAAATAGATGAAATAAATGATAACTTTTGCTTTTTAAATCCCTGATGCCTAGCCGCGTTTAGGAATAGGGGAGTGAATTGCTAACAAAAATTTATCTGACATAGAAGAGCTTTCATATGGGAAAAAAGGTCATGGAAATTGGTTGTGATGATGTTTATGTAGTAGGTAATAAGGGAACAAAAATAGTCCCTTGTTTATTCATTAGCTTGTACGATAGGTTATGATCCCACCTTAATTTCTAGTTTGTATCTCTGATATTGCAATGGAAAATTAGCCGTTTATCTTGCCGAATCTCATTCCAAGAGTTGAAATTAGTGGTGAATTGCTACTGAGCTCATGGCTGTACTCTGTATTAAAAACTTACGGGGTGTTATGAATGTGCGTGTGAAGAAAAAACTTGCTAAGTGGGATTTTAGTTTCGTATGTTTGATTAGATTGGGGTGATTTATAAACATGTCGGTGATGATGCTCGGTGGATTCAAATAGTGAACACCTACTTACAAACTATGTTCTCTCTCTCTCTGTGGCTCTCTGCTGCCCACGTACAGATATATGACATGGACTCTTGAAAGTGAAAGTTCACCTACTTGAATGATAACTGACTGGTTGGTCTTTTTTTGTGGTCCTAATTAAGAACCCTGTTTGATAGTTAACCTCGATAATGCCTTCCATATGATTCATATCATTTGCAGCTAAATTTGGAGCGCCAAAGGTAGATGAAGTTTTTGGCCGCGACTCTGGGAGTTCTGGAGCATACCCTGCTTTGAATGCTCAATTCTTATCTCACCCGGTTTTTAGGATCAGAATTTGTCAATCCCTGAAATTGTGAGAGGAAACACTACAGCAGGTTATTAAATAATGGTTCTCGGCATCATATTTCTTTAATTGATGTGGGATGATTTTTTTGGTTTGGAGTTATTATTAGATATGTTTCCAAGCACAAGCTGCTGCTAAAATAACGCAAGCCGAGTCCCTGGTCTAATAATTTCCAAACCTTGTGTTTAAAGCAGGGATGATGGCGTCTCAAAAGTAGGGGATCTTTCTCTCTCTGTCATTCAAAGTTGGGTCCCTGAAGTTTTATGAGACGTTCCCCTTCATCCACCTCATATGGCCCACAGCGTTTGGCAGGGTGCGCGTGCCTACTGGCATAGCATATGAAGTGAAGCGACTTCCTCCCTTGCTGTGCTGTGAGAATGATTGATGGGGCTTTTTTCCCCCTACTAATAAAAATCCGAGGTGAAGGGAATTTGGGACAATAGAAGGGCTATCAAAACATTTGTGCGGACTGTTAACAGGTTCTATAGTTAATACAGTGGGGGCAAGTACTTGACTGGGGTGTGAACTCGTGATGAAATTGAATTATAGCATGCAATTGTGATATTAGCTATCAATGCACCTCGCACCTCCGAGATGATTTGACCACCTGTCTCCTCCAATTTAATAGAAGACCGTTGGTTGGCAGAAAGTGACATCAATTCAAATTTTCCAACTAATCAATGAAGAATTATTATGCTACTCTTTCTCCTCTTTTTCCCCCTCCTGTTTGCAATAAAATCTCAAGTTTGCGACATTTGGCTTATCTGGTATGAGTTTCATTTGACATAAATGGAGAGCATAAGCTGCAAAAGCTTAGAAGCCATGATGGGGCTGCTCTGGATTATGGTTTGCTATCTGTCCCTAGCATC